GGCAAGGGCAATGACTGTACCATCGAGCGTATTTTGCAGTATTAAACACGTATTTATACCGATTTCATCAGGCTCCGAAAATTCTTCAAAAAGAACACAAAGAATGGCCTTCTCAGCTGCCATAGTTGCAACTCTTTGGTCATCAGAACAGGGTGTTCAACGCACCACCGTTTCCGTTTAAAAAACGTTTTGCACCGTTTTTGTCGGGTTGAACGCAGCCCTGGTTTCACAGACAGGGCCAGGATTAGGCCATAGTTCAATTAGGACATTAGATCCATTAATCAGTAATATTATTTTAAATACCATTATTCAGTCATTTCTGTCATTATTCCTAGGTAAGTTACAAATAAAGACTTTGCTCATGTCTGATAAGCAAACAGTTGTTTCTGTGATTATGCAAAGGTGGTCTATAGATTATTCAAAGACACAAGTTATATGACCTTTAAGTAACTTTTTTTTATATAGGTTACAAAGCTATCTCATTTAAAATACTCAGAAGAATGTTAGCAACATTCGTTTGCTTTATCAGATAAGGATTTTTTTTTTTTTTCAAATAGCACAAAAATGCATTAAATTAACATCAACCAGACAAACAAACACAAGGGGTATATTTTTTAAATATAGGCTAGGTATACATTCAAAAAATCACAAAGGTTTATGACCATGTTTAGGCTATTTTTATCTGCTTAATTAAATATTTAAAATTGAAGCAATTCATATAATGGTGAAAGCAGAATGGTTTCTAAAGTAATATTTTTATGCATTTATTTATTTAGCTAAATCTATAATTGGAGATGTATAATTAAAAAAGAAGCTAAACAAACAATTAGCTGGAGGACACTTCACTGAAGTGCATATATTATATAAAATAATAATATGAAATGCTCCAATAAGGGTTTTACATCATACAAAAAAACGTATAAACTCATTCATAAAAAAAACAAAAAAACACACAAAAAAAGTTTGACGACAAACTTCCGGAATAATTGTGCACCACCGACGCAAGTGCAAGCACGACTGCGCAAATGCGCAAACACAAAAGTTGCATTCTCACAAGTTGCATACCACAGCATTAAAGACAGACAGCATCACTTCCTTGATTTCACGGGACAGAGAGCGAGTCTCCTCCCACTCGAGTGGCATATTGGTGAGAAAAAGCCTCGTTTGTCTCACGGGAAGAAGTTGAAAATATGAAGAAACGCCACTGTTAGAGGAATCACAATTCAAAAGTCAAGGGCTCAGCACATCTCTTCTCCGGGCGGCTGGATTATTAAAATGTGTTACTGCCAAAGCGAAGAAACAAGTGGGTTGAGACACTGAGTCGACTGGACACATTGCGCTGGATCAGAGGGTTTTAAAGTATCGGAAAAACTACTGAAACATTTGCAGATATGTCTGAACACTTATTTTGTTTCCTTCACATTGGGGATATCGTGTCTCTGTATGCAGAGGGAACTGTGAATGGATTTATCAGCACTTTAGGGTAAGTTGCCTCCCATTGCTCATTATATTTGTCTTAAACGTAAGTAAACATGGCATTTAGATATTTCATTTAGGTACACTGGTGTGATTATGTTGCCCAAAATGCAGTAATACAATATTAAACCTGCAATACAATTTCATTTATGTTTTATCCTCCTCATGTCAGATGAAGATTGTTGAGTGGAAGTAGGAAGTGATTTGAGCACATACTGGAGGCCAGAGGTGCAATGTGACAGCATTGCTTCAAAAGCATGCAAATCATTGAACGGGAATGCAAAGTTTTCGTTATTTTACACAGTAACATTAATACAACTAACATAGGCTCAGTTTAAAGGTGTGTGCTGTAATTTTTGCTAATTAAAAATGTTTTACAAAGAAAATATGAAAAATTAACAGCACATTTGAGAGAAATACGTCGTATGAAATAAAGGCTCTAGATAAATTAGTATTAAAAAAAGTAAAAAAAACAACAACACTTATTTAGTATTAAAAAATAAAAAAATTAAAAAGCTGATTTAATCTACATGGAGCGGGTCACCACCTCGTGGATGATGCCATTTTTGATATCATGTGACCTGTTGTGTCATGAAAATGGCTGATTAGCTACTCACAACACGAATAATATGTTCGCTTTATAGAGCTTTTTCAGCCAGTGCTCTTTACAAGGTATAGCACACAAAACATTATAACGACAAACACATTATACATACTGCAAGCGTGGAGTCTTAGTCCACACTATGGTATGGATCAGGATGTGTGCAATTCACCTGTTCAGACAGAATGAGGATAAGTGGACAACAAAGTGTCAGTTTAAATCAAACCAGCTAAACGCAGATACAAATTTACTGAGTGCACCTTTAATTAATAAAGGAACAGTTCACCCAAAAATAAAAAATAAATTGCTGAAAATATTCTCACCCTCAGGCCATCCAAGATATAGATGAGTTATTTTCTTCATCGGAATAGATTGGGAGAAATTTAGCATTACATCACTCGCTCACCAATGGATCCTCTGCAGTGAATGGGTGCCGTCAGAATGAGAGTTCATACAGCTGATGAAAACATCACAATAATCCACAAGTAAACCATGCTTTCAGTCAGTCAGTTAAGGTCTTGTGAAGTGAAAAGCTGCATGTTTGTAAGAAACTCTCCTGTTTGAACTTTCCTTCTGACGGCACCCATTCACTGCAGAGGATCTATTGGTGAAAAAGAGATGTAATGCTACATTTCTCCAAATTTGTTCTGATGAAGAAACAAACTCATCTACTGTACATCTTTGATGGTCTGTGGGTGAATACATTTTTCAGCAAATTTTCATTTTTTGGTGAACTATTCCTTTAAAGTTAAATCAAATTGAATTTTAGAGTTTCTGAGATTGCACTGTGTAACAGAAGCAGTTTTCATTTGATTTTCATGTGGTCATGTAGGAACACATCTGCTTGAGAGTCTTATGAAAGATTACGAATATAACCACATGGAGGTGAAACGCCCAGCTCCAATTCAGGTTGCGTTGAATCACTTTTACATTGTTGTGCAATGACTCATCAAGCAATTAAGGTGCAGAATAGGGCTGCACAATAAATCGCATGCGATATTTAACGCGCATCTTGTCAGAAAAGCCGGTTCTGTAATCAGCGGTAAAACTTTCTTACTATGATTCAAACTTAAGCGATGGGGTTTTCTTTAGAAGCATAATGCAGGCTAGTTTACACGTACTTGTAGTAATGTGCACTTGTATTGGAATTGTGGCTTTCTGTAGGAGCAGACTTTGTGTTAAAGCGAACTGTCAGACTGCATGTCCCAGTATTGTTATGCACAGTTGACATTCCAGTTTTTGTCTTTTGTTACTTTTGCAGTGTGTTTGTCCAGTTATGTTTTTCCATATTTAGACAGGCAGTGTATGCTAAGTATAGGAATTTTTTTTTTTTAGCACACCAGGGTGACTAGGAGCATGAAATTGTCCAGCCATGACTTCCTGTTCCACAGGATTATAAATATGAGGAACACAAAGGCCAAATTCCCTTAATCATTCATCACAAGGTATAAAACCAAAGAATGTAGTTCTGATGTGCAGAACAAGATTGTTGAGCTTCGCAAAATAGAACGTGGCTGTAAGGAAATAGCTAATGCATTGAAAACCCCCATTTCCACCTTCAGGGCAATAATTAAGAAGTCAACTAAAGATGTTACAAATCTGCCTGGAAGAAGACATGTGTCTATATTGTCCTAATGCACGGTGAGGAGGAGCGTTTGAGTGGCCAAAGACTATCCAAGGATCACCGCTAGAGATTTGCAGTTATTAGTTAAGTCTTGGGGTCAGAAAACTTAAAGGGGTCATATGATGCGATTTCAATTTTTCTTTTCTCTTTGGAGTGTTACAAGCTCTTGGTGCATAAAGAAGATCTGTAAAGTTGCAAAGACTAAAGTCTCAAATCCAAAGGGATATTCTTTATAAAAGTTAAGAGTCAACCACACCTACCTAAAATGGCTCGTTCTAACACGCGAAACTACTTTGTTTGGTCTTCCAAAAAAGGACTAGAAATCAGTGGTTATGTTGTATTTACAACACTGTTCCAGAACAATGGTCAGATGAAACAAACAAACAAAAAAAGAGCTTTTTGGCAGCAAACCCACCAGATGGGTTTGGTGCCAACAGGGATAAAAAGTACCCCATGCCCACGGTTAAATATACTGTTGGATCTTTAATGTTGAGGGCCTATTTTTCTGCCGGAGGTCCTGGACATCTTTTTCAGAGACATCATCATGGATTTTAACAAATGACAATGGGCCGTGGTTGGATCTTCCATCAGGACAATGATCCAAAACAACCATCAAAATCAACACAAAAATGTGTCACTGAGCACAAAATGAAGCTTCTGCCATGGCCGTCCCAGTTCCCTGACCTGAACCCTATATAGAAAACGAGTGGGGTAAACTGAAGAGAAGAATCACCAACATGGAGCTGGGAATCTGAGGGATCTGGAGTGATTCTGTATGAAGGAATGTTCTCTGATCTCTT